TAGTTGCTCCAACAACTTCATTATGTTCCAGCAATCCAATTATTTTATGTTGCCCAATATTATGACATTTCATAAGCAGAATCGTATTAAATTAAAAGGATATTCTGCAAAACTTTGCAGAGTTTGACAATACATATAGTCAACAATTCCTGTTCGTAGGAAATACCACACTAGCCTACAAAACAGTGTGACAACAGTTGGAGTTCATCAATTTTAGTTGCAAACAACAATGTTACATATGTACATACATATAGATCTGTGTGCCTACATATGGCTGCCTTAATTACAGTTCGAATGCAAGTGTATCCGTAGGGAATTTTTCTTCACAAGCTCAAAATTGTTAAGGAGCTGATTTCAAAAACAAATAAATAATGCCCCTTATGCCACCAAAAGCTTTCTTTGAATGACCGAAATTGTATCGTCAATTCAAAAATAGAAAAGAAAATCTCTAGAAACCCATTGTATTGGATTTCAAGCTTCACCAAGCTGCAAAATTTTCTTGACATTCGGATGCTCAATTTTCCTTCCCCATATCGCCTCAAATGTCATATATATATGATTACATATTTATGTGCTCTCTCAGAACCTGTATCAAGTACCTTTTTACTTACCACTTAGAAAGATCTTTAGTTTTGTTTTGTCAAACCCAAGTCTTTAGTTGATAGTGGAAGCAGTGTCTCGGGTTTTGTTTAGCCAAGAGAAGCCCCTACTCACAGTTGGTGGCTTGCTAGTTCTTTCACTACCCTATGTTTCAGAATTCTTATTTATCGATTTCTCCCAGCTTTCATTGAATATTCATTTATTTTCTGACGGTACCCTCTACGGTCGACTGAGGACTTTTTAAACTGTTTTCGGGCCATATGTAGCGTAGCTAGAGCCTTCTCTAAGCGATTGGTCAGATATCTGAATGCCCGCAGGACCCAACATCCAAAGTAAATAAATTACCGTTATGCTTATTATAATCCTACTAATTCATACATGATTTGATTTTCGGAAAGTGTACTCCTTGTTCTAATATAATATTCACGACCAGTAACCATATTCCCTTAACTATTTTGAAGCTTATCGTTGATAAGGCCATCGAAATATGTAAACAATCTTTACCAAAACGTTGTAGCTTCATGTCGGTTTAGAGGTTATCTCTGTGCAGAGGGTTTCCATTTGTAGAATGCCAACAAATTTGGACTTCTTCGTCCTCTTTTCGTGCGCTTCTGGCCATATCAGACTTGTCGATCCAAGCGGCAATGGATTTCTACAGTTTTCTCAATGGCTAGATATATCTTTCTTTGCAGAAAACCTCCATTTTATTTTTTTTTTTTTT